TTAAAACAGGTAACTGTTAATCCCAAAAAACTGAACTTTGGAGTTCAAGGTAACTCTCTGTGAGGATCTCATCTGTCAGTCTAAAGTGCTTATATTTGTAAAAATTCAATGACTGCGCACATAAGATTTGCATATATCAAATGTTAAAACAAAACAAAACTGTAGATAATGATATGCATATTAGCTTCTTTAGGGCACCAAAACAGATGTATGCAATTAATACTGGCACACATTTAAAGAATTAGGAATATTTAAGTAGATCATATATGAAGAAATGTAAGCATTCTATTAATGGCTTGCCTGTTACTAACTTTTCACTAGTGGAGATACAGTTATATGTTATCTCACAAACAGCTAAGTTATTCTTTGAATAATTTACTTCCAAAGACTGATAACAAACATTAAGGCAAAAGAGACAAGCACTTCATGCATCTTTCTAACTCAAAGCTTTATAAAGTTCTGTGAACTTTTTATAAGGTTGTTACTTAAGGAACATGTAAGATTTTAAGAAAACACCAGGTAAAAGATAATCCCATTGGTAATCAACAATTGAAGTCTAAGAAGGAATTTGTAAAATCATGGCTTCACACATATATGTGCACAGATAAACACAAAAATAAAAATTTTTAAGTAAAATAAATATTATGGGATCTCAAAACCTGTTAAACCTTTAAAAAAAAAATACCTTGGTGCTAAAGAAATAGCTCAGTAGTTAAGAGCACTAGTTGCTCTTGTAGAGGACCTAGCGTCAATTCCCAGCACCTACATGGCAGCTAACAACTGTAACTCCAGTTCCAGGGGATCTGACACCCTCTACTGACCTCCATGGGCACCACAAGCACATGGTTCGCTTATATACTTATAGACAAAGCATTCAAGCATATTAAAAAAAAAAAATCCCCCCCAAAAATTAAGTATCTCAACTGAACTTTTGCAAAAAGAAATTTCATCAGAAGTATACCAATTCTTTAGCAAAAATGTATCACTAGCAGGAGTTGAACTAAGATGATATCACCAACTAAGATTGGTACTACTTTAAAAAGTTCTTTGGATACTCTATGTCCTGAGGTGGATTTGGATCAGTCCTGAGGGTCAGAACTGTCCAGATATTGCTGCTCGGGAGAGCCAGGACAGGTGCTCTACTTGAACAAAAGAAAACGAGGATTAAGGATCTTATCTGTACAGAAGAAAGTCTCAACTCTAGTCAACAATTAAAAACTGGATCATTAGGAAGATTAGCAATAGTATTTTGAAGGCTTTGGTATTTTTAGAACAACAGAAAAACAAAGTATATGATCTACAGGATGATTCCATTATCAGTATGGTTTCTTTTTAAAAAGAATTCTGCTAGAAGGAATATGGTTACTTTAATAGTAATATAAATGCTTAAGAACTTATAGTTTACAATTATCCCTAAGATCATTTAAAAATAGTTTCCCTTCATGTTATAGAACTGCAAACTCATTTTTAAATAAAAATAAAGGCATTATTTGGCATTTGCTTGACTAGGTTGGTCTCACTCTTTGAATTCTTCCTTTTTAAAACAAAACACAACACTTTTTAAAAGACTTCCTAACTACCTCAAACTCAGAATTAACAGTTCCTTTTCCTGCACTTCAAAAGACAGTCTAATGTACTTTTCCTATCACTCCAAGTTACACAGTCTATGAAATTTTGTTTTTGTTCTTTAGACTTCCTCACTACACAGTAAGTGCCATAAAGTTAAGACCTATTTGTCACTTCAAAGTTTGGTTAGTATTTAACCCCTGACCTATACCTAACAAAATAACGAACCAGAATTTTAAAATTTTCCTATCCAAGATATCTGCTGCTTTCCTATCTCTGAAAGAGCTATTCCAGGACAATTCAATGACTATAATAAATAACCAACTAACAATAATAAGCAACTAGCAATGACTTTTAACTACTCAGCCTACATCTAATGGAAACTAGATTTAAGGAAGCTTTAATGTTATACATACAAATGTAAAAGTGTAAATTAATTACTGATACCGTATACTTTTTCTACTATGGAGAATTTGATTGTTACTGCTTTGTTCTCATAAATAAACTAAACTGTTGAGCTAAAAAGATTTTTTTTTCTTTTTGTTACAAAGTCAGAGGTTAGGTCCACCTAACTACAAAATAATTTTAAGGCTATTTCACTGTTTGTAGTCAGGCTTATGTGAGTACACGTAAAACTTCAGAAAAGAATGCTAAGAAATTGTGGAAAGAGAAGACATGATTTGGAAGACAAGCACTATTTGGTGCAGACTATTCCTAAATGAGTAACACAAATAAATATAAATAACATTTGTTAGTGGTTATTTATAAATAAGTTTGCTAATAAATGACAAGCTCTGTGAAACAATGTGTTAATCAGATTTGGGAAAAAGTATCCAAAAGTAAACAACCTCAGCTGATTTAGAACATCAGACTTAGACCTTTCATTTACCATAAAGAAAAAAAAAGTCAAGTACTGACACAGGCCTGAAATCCTAGCACTGAGACAGAAGAATTCAGAGTTGGAGACCAGCCTAACCATACCTATCTCAACAGGAAGTGGGGGGCGGGAGAAATACTATTTCACATAAAGCAAGCAAGAGCCTTGAGTGAATACCTAGCTAGATGAAAGCCTACTTATGACTAGTCCATCCCATTCTTAACAGCCATGTACATGTAAGGACAAACCCAGGAAACCCTGGGTTAGCACGCAATGGATCACAAAAATCATTTGCTAAAATGTAGAAGAAGATATAAAATATCAGAGTACAACACATGTATAAGGGAAAGTATAGCTTCCATTCCCTGAAACTTCTGATTCAACTGTCATTATAAAATGTATTTCTGAGTATGGGCTGCAGTTTTTAAAAATTTGTGAAAGTTAATCTTGTCTATATGCCCAAGACTATTTCTTTTTCCCCAAACACTGCAAAAATTAGGAGCTCAGCACTGTTATTACAAAAAAAAAAATGAGTATTGGGGCTGGAGAGATGGCTGCTCTTGCAAAGGACCCAAGTTCGAGTCCCAGCACCCATACAGCAGCTAATAATCATCAGTAATTCCAGTTCCAGGGGTATTCATTGCCCTCTTCTGACCTCCACAGGCACTCATGACACAGGTCACTTACAGATATGCAGGTAATACACTCATACACATAAAATTTTAAAAAATTATATATTTTAGAGGCTGGAGAGATGGCTCAGCAGTTAAGGGCACTGGCTGCTTTTGCAAAGGACCTGGGTTCGAGTTCCAGAACCCAACTAACAATCATCTGTAACTTCAGTTCCAGGGGATCTGACACCATCTTCTCATGTTTGCAGGCAATGAACTACATGGGTGCCCTTACACACATGCAGGCAATAAATTCATACACATTAAAATAACAATAACAACAACATTTTTTAATAAAACAAAAAAATGAAAAGTGACCTTAACCCAGGTAGATTATTATCATTTAAGCTTGATTTCATGAACTTTAAAAATCAAACTGTCTGAATCCACATCCAACTTTCACTCACTACTACTTTATGAGTAAACCAAAACTTACTTAAACAATATGTGCCTAACTTTTTTATCATCTGTAAAATGAGGATGACAGTATCTACCAAGTTATGGTTAAAAAAAAAAGTCATATACAAAGTTCTAAACATAAGCTTCACAGAGCAAAGGAGTAATACACTGAAATGTAACAGAGCTGCAGATGTAGCTCAGTGCCACAGAACCTGTCCAACATGGGCAAAGCCCTGGTGTTTTACCAGCATCTCAAAGATAACATAATGGCATTAGTTAACATTTGCTTGACTGGGGGCTGGAGAGGCCGCTCAGTGGTTAAAAATACTTCCTACTCTTCCAGGGGATCCCTGCATCCATGATGGGTTGGGGAAAATCACAACCACATGTAACTCCAGCTCCTGGGATCAGAGGCCCTCTTCTGGCCTCTATGGGCACCTATACACACATGACATCCATTCACATAGAAACACATACGCACAAATAAAAATAGATCTTTAAAGAAAAAGGTATCTTTGGTGTGTTATTTTAAAGCCGTAAAGGTGTGCCTTTTAATTTTGAACCTTTCTGTGTGCTATTTGAATTTTATAATGTACACGTAAAGTAATATTTCCAATGTTATGTTTTAAAGTATAAAACATCATCATCTTTTTTTAAAAGATCAACAAGAAGTATCAAGGCAGTGAGATTATGGTCCTTTTGCTTTTGGTCTACATTTCTGTTTTATACAAACATCAGTAAACAACTACTCACCCAAGGAAAAAAACGAGTAAAAAAAAGGTAAAAGATGATGTTCAGAGTTAGGAATTTGTGCCTGTTTGGAGACTTCTTACTAAATCCTTCTTCTTACTAAATCTTCACTCAAACTTAGAAAATTGGGCCAGTTGCGACAAGGTGGACACACAATAACTGTACCTACGACTTTCCCTTATCATGTGAAGGCGAACAATACTCTTCTGTTCCCTCACTAGCCTGTTCTGCTCTCTCCAACTAGACTCTTTAAACTCTCCGGAAAAAGTGGAATTCAGAAACTCCACTGGGGTGCTTAAACACTTGTGGCGCTGCACTTCACTTCTTTTGGCCTAGAATATCTGTCCTCAAGAGATATAACCATGTCGTAAAAACAAAATAAACTAGCACACAAACGACAAAGCTATTCTAAATGCTATTTAGATCTAACTTGTTTCGGTCACACTCTGAACTGAAAAAAAGAGTTTAAGCATATACATATCCAGGATATGAGTACCAGTACATGAAGTCTGGCAGTAAGTTAAAGTTATCACAGCCAAAGAATTCACACGTCCACTTTGCACGCCCCCACCGCCCAGAAGCTCACTAAAGAAACCTCTGGTCTACCAGAGAAGTGTTAAAGAGCCACAACCACGCCCCCATTTGTCCAAACACAACTTGCACTTCTTTTCCAAGTCCAACCACCTGCCCTCCACCCCAAAATCAGTATGAAAAAAAAAAAAAATCCAAAATCTGACCTGCTGCGAAGTGCAGGGGAGACGACTTTCGGCCGGCCATGTCCTTTGCATTCACGTTGGCCGCGTCCACCAACCTCTTCACCCGGGACACGTCCCCATTACGACAGGCCTCCAGCAGCTCCCGCAGGGCCCCGCTCACGGCTGGGACCCCGGGGGCGGGTCCCGCCGACCCGGCTCCCAAAGCTGCTGCGGCGCCAACTCCGGCCGCCTCGGGGCTCTCGGCCAAGCTGGAGCCAGGGGAGGACGGGGAGGAAGAGGACGAAGAAGTCGGGGAAGAAGTGGACGACGCCGAGTTGTTCCCACCACCGCCAGCTGGGCTGGGAGCGACCCCGACGACCGCAGAAGCAGCCGGGACTGCGGCCGCGGCGGCCACCGTGCAGATCGTGCCGTCCACTGGGTCGGGGGATCGCGGCCTGTCGGGCGGATCCCTGCTGCCATCCCCCTCGGGCAGCACCAGGCCGTGCCGCGGGGATGCGAAGGGCGCCAGGCCGCCGGCCGTAGGCGAGGCCGGGGTGGGACCCGGGGCCAGGCAGGGGCTGAGCGGGGGAGGCGGCGGCGGCGCCGAAGCCCCCGGAGCGGGCTGGAGCTTTTGTTGATGATGGTGATGATGATGCTGAGAGCGACGCGACGCCGCCATCTTCCCACACCCCCAGCACTGTCACTGCGGCAACGGCCTCTCCGCCCGCCCTCACTTCCTGCCCTTGGACCAATCAGGATCCAGCACGCCGGAAATGCGTCCTGCTGGGGCGGGTGGGGTCAGAGAGAAGGAGGGAGCTCAGAGGGCAGCCCGCGTGGGGGGCGTGGCCTTGTGTTGAGAAGCGGGATTTGTGACGCCCAGGCAAGTGGGCTCCGCGGATTTGAAAGCTGCGGCTAGCCGCTAGCTAACTGGGAAACTTCTGCTTCGCTCACATTCTGCCTGCCTGTTTGGCCGGCCGGGCTCTGCTCTCACTTCATCTTCAGTCTTCCCTAGCTTGCCCCAGAAGCAGCTATTGAGGTGTAACTTAATGCATGCATCTATCAAACTTGAAGCTAATACTACCTAACAATTGTTAGCAAGGAGTAATGCATACAAAACACTCAACAATAAGAATTACATTAGAAAAATTAGCACATTAGGACTTTTTTTTTAAAATGTAGTCTGCTGGGTCCTCTGCTCCTCCCATTAGCTGTTTGGTCTCCTTCTGCTAGGGCACAGGAGGGACGGATGGGGCTTTCTTATGCTCTATGTTATAAAGCTACATTTGTACTTAATATTGCAGAAAAATCTATACGTGAACACATTGTAAACAGTGTTTGTTCATTGTTAACCTCTGATTCAGGTGGTGCCTTGAGAGGAATGCAAGGCTCAATGGCTTTGAGGTACTTCAATCCTAACTAGACAGACGTTGATGAGGGGGAAGTGCAGGAGGTGACCAGGCTGACCACCTGACTAGAGAAGGGCAGGACTAAACTTTGGCATGACTGACTACCTTTGTACCAGTTTGCTAGCTGCTAATGACCAGTAAGACGGGTCGCTAGGATGTTAATCATCTGTCTTCTCAAATTACATGCAGGCTCTTCCCAGCTAAAGCAGTTTAAAGAGTCCGGTCCTGCCTCTGCTCATTAGCGCTTGTGGTTACAGGTCTCACAAACGTTGGTAGTCTAGTTACAGTCCTTCCCTATAAGTTTTCTCACTCTATACGTGACTTTGCTGATTCTCAATTTTAAATGATGCTTCATATTGCCAAAATTGGAATTCAAGCTTGGCCATTTTCTGGCTGTGCACATTTAAGCAAGCCATTTAGCCAAACATTTTGTTTCCTTTCTGTAAAACTGAAATAACACGTTTGATAAATGTTGATTCAAATTATGTTTTTTCTTATTCTTTGTACTTTTATTTCTCATCTTAAATTTAAGTAATTGTTAAATTTTTCATTTTTTTATAAGTTGGTTCTTTCCCCTTCTAATTTTCTCACTCCATTTCCCTCTCCCCTCCCAAACTAAGATAAAAACTCAATTGTGGGGCTGGAGAGATAGCTCAACTGTTAAGATCACTGGCTGTTCTTGCAGAGGACCCAAGTTTGATTCCCAGCACCTACATGGCAGCTAACAACTGTCTGTAACTCCAGTTCCAGGGAAATCTGGCACCTTCTTTTGACCGCCATAGGCATTGCATGACATGGGTAGACTTATACACATGTAGGTAATACACTCATACACATAAAATAAAAAGAATAAATAATTTTTTAAATTGTCTTTTTATTTAAAAAAAAAAAGATTGCTGTCAACACGTACCTTACTATGCGTGTTTTCTGCATCTGCCTTTTCTCTCTCCTACCTGTTCCTATGACTTTTGTATGCCACCAAGAGATTTTGTCATGAGTGGAATAATCTCACTGAGGTCTCCATTTTATGTCTATTGTACAATAGTAGAGTAGGCATTCTGGAAGCACACACTTCACAGCATTATTCTAACAAAATGCACACAGATGTAGATTCTATGTCCTCAGAAAAAAAGATGGATCGAGCAGAATATTAAGCAAAGTGATAAACTGGTCAATCATTACTGAATATAATTAGCATGATGTTAATAGTCCCATTTCAATAAATGGGTAAATTTGGGCATATCAACTAAACACAATGAGCTCAGGTGCATAAGTAGCATTTAAGTTTCACTGAATCTGGGATTAGAGATTATAACTAACATTCCTTTGTTTTTAAATTTATGCCCGTTCCCACAATGACACTTGACAAAAGGTAAGAGAACATAGTGGAACTAAAATCAGGCCACAGCATACATTCTCCTAGGATTAGATTCTCCTAATCTTTTTCCTTGAACAAACAGTATTTCATTATATATGACAATCTAATTTACAAATCTTTATACATTTCAAGGAATACATTCAGTTATGCTGAACATAAATTTCAAGAGGCAAAAAAACAATAAACATTGAAACTTACCTTGTAGATTATGACTGTGGTCATTACTGCCCTATTTTTAATTTCGTATCTATAATCAAAAAAAAAATGAATGTATCCACCTAGAATGTAGCCAAAGCTCTACTGAATAGTGAAATCCATTATCTAATTTGAGAAAAGGTGTTTCCGCTAGTTTCACAGAGTATTTTTCAAATGAATGAAGCAAGGGCCGGTCATTTGTTCACCCTTGGGACATTATACAACTCTCCAATACTGATTGATTACTACAAACCCTGAGGTACATCAATATCCAGTTTCCCAAGACTGCATTTCTTTTTTAGTCAATGACCACATGAGTTTCTCGAAAGGGAAACAGAGCAAAGGATGGGATTCTATTAGCTAGGACAATCATGATTCACACTTTTGTCAAGATTTGGAGGAGTCTCATGACAGCTTCAGAGTAGAATACCAAACCAGCATGAATCTCTTGAATCTTAACTTCTTAATTCAGAGCAGAGTGGGAGGCAGATCACCATGGTATGTTAGATGTCTGTATCCTAACCTTGCCCCTTGAGAATGGGAAACATAAGGAATGTCTCATCTGGTGCCCTGATGGCTATTTACTCATACATCACAGAAAGAAGTAATGGTTGAACTATTTCAAAATGCATCCATTGTGTCTGGTTATCATACAAAATAAATAAGAAAATCTCTTCTGGGTAGAATAAAAAGATTGAATTGCCTGAAACTACTAGTAATGCATTCTGAAAGTGCATTCAATCAACTAGAAATTGCTTTTTTCACCCTGGTGGAGAATAGTAAAACTACTTAACATTAAGTATTTATGAAGTTTTATAGGCTTATATGAACTAATGTTGAGCTCTAAGCATGAAAGAACAGCTATCACTACCCACTCTGTGGTTAAACACAATTCCATGAGGGATACATTTGTCATAATAAAAAGAGTAAAAATTGAAGTCAAGTTTGGCCTCTAATCATATCTCTGACAATTATTGATTGATTAATCTTGGTAGCTATGCTTCAACTCTGTCAGTCTAAGAATCTGACTATCAGAGCATTGTCATGAGAGTTAAAAGACCTAAACATTTTGTAAGTACTCCTTGAATGTTAGTTCTGTTCCCTTATGTATCACATGTCAACAGAACTCACAGTCACTATTAATAACCTTCTCTTCTCAACTCCCTTTATGACAAAGAGGAGAATTGGTAATACATAGTTACCATTTAACATAAAACAGAAATCTTAAGAAAGATTGATTTGTTCCTCATTTGATAATTTAGGATTATTTTATTATTTTTTTTTTATTTTATGTGTATGCATGTATTACCTACTTGTAGGTAAATGCACCCATGTCTTGCAATGCCCGCGGAGGACAGAAGAGGCTGCTGAATCCCCTGGAACTGGAGTTATGGACAGCTGTCAACTGCCATGTGGGTGCTGGGATTCGAACCTGGGTCATCTGCAAGAACAACCAGTGTTCTTAACTGCTGAGCCATCTTTCTAGCCCCAATTCAGGGTTCTTTTAAGTCCTGACAATCTCCAAAAATAGTTGAAAAATCACAGTAGAGCAACACCTTATTAGTTTCAAAAATGTTTACACAAAACCATGTCCAGCTTATTTAAAAATATGAGCATACAGTATCGTCCTAGGCCATGCTATTGGCCAAAAGAAAAGTCACTACTCACAAAGAATACTGCTTCTTGAATGTGTTCTAATGCTTGTCTGCCCCCCTCCATGGGAATTACATGAACATTCTTTGAAGGTTACACAATCACAAATTTGCACAGGTTCCATATTTAAGTTTCAGTGAAAAAGTTGGTGTGATTGTTCCATTCATATATTATTAATTGATCTTCTGCCTCATGTGCAAGTTCATTAATAGTATGTCAGATCTATTAAGTCCAATTATTCTTTGATATCCTGTGCAATACTTCCTCAGCAAATCTATCAGCAAAATCAGACCTATAACTCAACAGGGCAGTGCCATTTTCTCACCTTGGTCTTAGAGGAAGATGAGTTATTCTTATATCAGAAATGCTCATGGTACCATTGGCTCATATTTCTCTATAGAAGTGTTACATTATCTTTTCTAAAGTTCCAACCAGAAATCTAAATAAATTAGAAAGTCACAGGTGGTCATCGCTTCCTCTACAACTGCATTGTACTAAACTCAGAAACTTAAAAGAAAAAAAAACTAAATAAGACATGAAAATTAGAGTAATTCAAAGATTGCAGATATAGCAAACTCCCAGTTGCTGTATAAGATAAGCTCTTATATACCAGGGTTATCTTGGTGGTATGGAAATTAAGAATGTTAATTCTCCATGTGAAATGCTTGACTATGAATCCTGATTTTGTTACTTTCTATAGGATTAATAAATTTGCCACCCTACATTTGGGGTGGGTACGTGCATGTGTGTACATATATGTGTGGAGGCCACAGGACAACTTCAGGTATCATTTCTTGGATGCCATTCATCTTGGGTGTTGTTTTTTTTTTTTTTTTTTTTTTTTTTTTTCGTCTTCTTTTGAGACAGGATCTCCCCAGAGCCCCAGCTGGCCTGGAACTTGCTGTGTGGACCAGGCTGGCCTGGAACTCACAGAGATCCACCTGCCTCTGCCTCCTGAGTGCTGGGATTAAAGGCATGCACCACCACACCCAGCCTTCATCTTGTTTTTAAAGACAGGATCACACTGGCCTGAAACCTGCCAAGTAGATTAAGTTGGCTGGCCATTGAGTGTCAGAGATCTGTCT